TCGGGATTTTGTCAGCTGCAGTTGATGCACCAGTTTTAATCTGTGCAATGGGAAAATGGGTAAAACTGTTTTTTACAAACAGGTCAAGTGTCTTTACGAGGAAAATATTAGTAGTAAGATTGAAAACCACACATCTTTAGATTAATTGACCCTTATTAGTCCCACAACGGGGAAATTTCACCTCTGCATTTGTGCAGTGAAACACCACATACACACTTATGAACACACACACACTGGGGGCAGTGAGCACACTTGCCTGGAGGGGTGTGCAGCCCTATCCGCAGTGCCCAGGGAGCAGTTGGGGGTTAGGTGCCTTGCTCAAGGTAACTTCAGTCACATACTGTCAGCTCAGGGGATTGAACCAGTGACCTTCCGGTCACAGGGCTGGTTCCCTAACCTCCAGCCCATGGCTGCCCCTTTAAAGAGTTATTTAACAGTTTTCAAGTAGGCCTGCCCCTACACACCTCAAAAAACGATGTTCTGTGATTTGTTACTTTGCTTGTCGGTCAGATGACCTGCTCCTGTCAAAGTAGTTGGTTCTTGGCCATGTTAAGTGACAAAGTGTACAAGCACTCTCTGACAATAGGCAGAAGTCTGGCTTGCTAGACTAAATATGTCCAGACGTTTGACTGGTACTGACTGTGTTTATGTGAAAGAGTGTCAGCGAGTCTTGCTGCCTGCCGAAATCTGATGAGCAGTTCCAAGACCGACTAGATGCAGGTCGATGTGAGACAGTGGAGCATTTTGATGCATGACAATGTGCTCTGTGTTAATGGCGAATTTCGGTAATGCTAACTGTATCAAGATACTCCGATTCTGCATAGTTCCACATCCATTTGTGCACTTTGGCTCTGAGCTCCAGTGGAAAGAATTGATCTGGAAGGAACTTTGTCCTTTCATTACTTTGCTAGCTGCCTTTCCATCCTCCCATTCGTCCTTCTAATCACCACAGTGAGGTGAGCGGCACTTTACCGGCATTTTAATTGAATTACTCAGTGGCAAAAATTGAATAACAATCAAAATCTTGTCCTGGACTACCCTTCCCTGCTAACTTTGCAATTATGCCTGTATTGGTTTTCAGATTAGTTTAATTATGGTGATTAACGGCAAAACGGCGGACCTGAGCGACTGAGGGATTTTTAATCTCACCCGTGCGCCTGAAACAGAGAAGGGCTGATTGAATAACATTAGTGCAGCAAGCAAATCTGTTAAACCCTCTTTGTCCTGATTCAGGAGACTTTCCAGGCACCTGAGTCACCTAGTTTTTGGAACCTAGATTGGCATTTTTGGTGAGCTGGTCTATCTGCCTGTCTGGATTTTCCTCTCTTTCTCACTCGTTCTCTCTCCCCGTCCCTCATGACCTCATTTATTTTTCCCTTTAATACTAGTAACGCTTGCCTAGGATTCCCGGCTCTGACTGTCTGGACGTCTGGCCGCCCTCCTTCCTGTTGTCTGCACTCAGCCCTCTCGCGTTCGCCCTCTTCCTCTCTCGGTGACCTCAGTGTGGTGAGACTGTCTGAAGCCAGTGTCTGTGTATGTGAGTGTGTGTCTGTACATTCGAGTCCCTTGGCCTCTTTTTGTCTTTGCTGTGTGACCCAGGCCATGTGCAGGCACTGTCTGATTATAGCCTGTCTGATGCATGTGTTAGCTTGATTCTTGGCTTCTCTTTCACTGTTTACGTGGGACCAGCAGAGTCATGGCCCGTGTGTGTGTGTGTGAGCTAGATCCTCTGGCAGGGCCTCCTCTTCCTCTGAACAGGAAGCCTCTACTCTCATTCCTGGAAAAAGACAATGCGTCACTGACTGTAGAAAGAACTGCCTGCTAGCGTTTCATACTGCACCTAAGTATGTGTAGCCTATCACTATCTCAATCTTCCGTTACACTCTATCTGTCTCTTCCCTGTACTTTGACATCAGCCTGGCCATTAAAGGAACCCAAAAATGCTAACGTTGCCAGCTGGGGCCACTTAACAAAATGCGGTTGAAACTACTGTCTGCTCTTTGTAAGCCACAATAACATTTCTCTAACTGGTGATGCCACAAATGTATCTGCACTGTTTTCTCTTTCCGCAGCTCTATTTCCTAATGTAGCTAAATGGAACATTATACAAACTACATGCTCAATTAATCACATCTTTACACGTCTGCACAGGAAATTCCTGGTCAAGATTTTTGCCAATCTGATTAAATACATTCTGATTATAGATTAGGACTGAGGTGTTTATGTGCTCACGCTACTCAACAATCTGATGGAAAATCACCATTTGCATGCACACTACAAGTAATCTGATCCAAAAGTACTCGCATGTACCACTTAGTGTAGATGTCACCATGACAACAAGCATCACGTGAGTCCAGTCAGCGTGAGAAGAGCAGTAGTTTGTCAGCTGTTTTTAGCTGGCATGCTTGTGTTTTTAATTGCTTTAAAAATGATGATGTCAGACTCAGGAAAACATACTTCACATGTCCTTATTAAAGAAGGGCGAGAGGAAGACGTCATGTTCTGAGACACATAAGCTGGACGCCCATCCCACCGCTGTCCTTTAAAGCTCAGAACATAAACTTTTCCTCTGCGGACCAGTTTCTGCTCCTGCCATGGTGAACGTTATAAACTTTCGCTATGACGCGACACACATGCAGAACGGACTTAAACTTTCTGATTGGGAATGTAATCAGATACAGGTGTTTACATGGTTATTATTCTTCTGTTTAACATATTATTACCCACCTCGTTCAATTGGATAGGAATTGTATTCCAAAAAGCCTCAACCGGATTAGTCTATTCCAACTGAGGTGTATACATGGACGTATTCTATTCGGATTGAGCTACTAGTCAGATTATCAGGCTGAATGTGAACATGGCTATTCAGAGTGCTTTGATGCGATGTGCCCTATTTTATAGAAACCAAGTCAGAATTGTCCACGACGTTAGTGATGGAAACCAGACATCTGAAGCATTTCATCCCTCTAAACTGAGATCTGAAAATGTTATTTTTTAAACTCCATTCATGGTGTAGGTGTACATGCCAAACGAAGGTATCCAGCACCCATAAAATGGTACTCAAAGAAATAACATTATTTTCAGATTTACTGCTGTTTTACCATTGTTTACATTACATACAAAACCAGAAGATAAGTTCATTGGTCATTTTGCACAGTAAACAGTTTTATACTGTACAGTTTATTCGCATCCCTGGCTTCCTATCACCACCATTACAAAGAAACACGTACATTTCTCTACAATAAATCACTTCACAGATTGAATTATGCACAAATGTTGAAAAATCCCCTTCGAACAGAGCCAAGTAATCTGTAATAGACTTGCTTATGTTTTGTCTGACACTCAATGACACACTGTTATCTATAAAAAGGGGCAAGCATGTGGTTTGTTAGCTCCAGTGCAAAACTTCATACACCCAATATGTGTTGGGGTTCGGAGGAAATTATGTAAACATGATGTGTCACTGAAGTATTCTTTTAATGTGGCAGCAAGCTAGTGACTCTATCTCTTATGCAAACCATGACCTTTCTCTCACTCTTTTACGTGGATGCCTGAGGCGATAGAAGACTTGGGGGGGTTGGGGTGGAAGGGGGCGGGGGGGACTGGAAATAAATTATTACCCGTTTTTTGTTTCCTCCCTGCTTTGTTTTGCATGCCGCAGCTCTTCTAAAAGCTCCCATTAAATATGGATCTGCTAAATGAGTCTACTTCCAGAACATTCCACCACATTGTAGAGAGCTGCTCTCTGGGCAGAAACAGACAGCTCAATACTTCAATACTGCTGTTTGTGTATGCACACATGTGCACCCAACAAGGACATGTCTGAAATGTGTTCCCGGTATTTGCGATAGTGAGCTAGTGGCCTATATGACGCATCTTTAAGTAAGAGTGCTTACGCACAGCGTGTGTGTTTTTGCCTGTCGGTTTGTTACATGATGCACATGGAGCGAAGTGGTCTGATTCAGTCAGACTGTGTGTGTTTGTATTTGTGTGTATGTGTGTGGTGAGTGTTATAGTGAGTCAGAATCAGTGTGTTTCCTCTCTGCCTCATAACCTCATTGTTAATTCATTCTTTCTCTCTGTCTGTCCCTCACACTCATGCGTGCATACATATGCATTTATTCTGTCTCCTCTGTTTTGTTTTGGCCTTTCCTCTCAGGTGACATTTCCCTCTTTATTGGCTAAGCCCACTGCCTTAGTGCCTTATTACATCCCTACCCCATTGGTGCAAAGTAGTGGTGCAACGATTCACTTGTTTTTATCGTGCATCCTTAACAATTCCTCCTGATACAGCTGCATTAGTCTTGCATTTTTACTGACTGAATTGCTTGCATTGGTCGAAAATCCATTTTAAATGCTAAAATTGAACAAATCATGAATGCTATCAAGTCAAACGACTTAAACTTTTTATAGCTGCTGCAGAAATGTGGCTACTTCTGCTGTTTAATTCTGTACCTCATGCCTGCTCATGCCTTAACCTACCTACCAGTTGCCATTTTTTGCTTAGAAAGCATGATATTGTAGAGGTGATGGTGAAGAATGATGCTGGAGATGCTGCAGTGAACCCAAATGAAGCTCTTTGGAAAATCACTATACTCAGACTCAGAAAACTCTAAATTTTCAAAAAAGGGTTCTTTTCTTGATGACCACTTGACAACCTACCCCCAGCCCCCAAAACAAATTATCTTGCGAGCCCCCGTTGAGAACCGCTGACCTCATAAATCATTGGCAGTGCTTAGACACTTTGTTCAAAGTGCTCTGTGGCCAGATCATTTTGATCAGCTAATGTTTTTAATGCTTTTAATGCATAATAATATTTCTTAAAGAAGCTTGAACTGCCAAATTGAGTTGCCAGATTGATGAGTAGCTTAATGTATTTCATCAAATCAATACGTTTGAATCTAAATGGAAACCAACAAACAGTGAATCAAATCAATTTGCTGACATGTCAAAAGGTCACACCTTTAGTAACATTACTTTTTGTATGTGTTTCCTCTCAGGGCTCCATCGAAGCTGCATGAAGCCAGCATCTGTCAGCCCCTGCCACATTCAGCGGCTCTTGGCCTGACACCCCAGCGCTTTGATGAGGTAACAGCAGGCACCAGCCGACCGACCCACCCAACTTAGCTCCACCCCCTTTCCCCACCCCTTCCCCTCTCCCCCTCCACTGAGGAACCATGGGTCAGAAGATCTCTGGCAGTATCAAGTCAGTGGATGTGCGGGGTGAGCCCTCATACCGCCCACTGCGAAGGGAGCTCCGTGGGCCGGACTTCTTCAAGCCAGCCCGGCTGGACCTGCTGCTTGACATGCCACCGGCACCCTATGAGCTGCAATTGAGGCACGCATGGAATGCTGATGACCGCTCACTCAACATCTTCATCAAGGAAGATGACAAGCTGACCTTTCACCGGCACCCTGTGGCCCAAAGTACGGACTGCATCCGCGGGCGTGTGGGATACACACGGGGCCTCCATGCCTGGCGCATCCACTGGCCTGCACGCCAGCGGGGCACACATGCTGTAGTGGGAGTGGCCACCGCTGAGGCACCCTTGCACTCGGTGGGGTACACGTCCCTGGTGGGCAGCGACAGCGAGTCCTGGGGCTGGGACCTGGGCCGCAACAAGCTCTACCACAACAGCAAGAACCGGCCGGCCTCGTCGGCACCCACATACCCCAGCTTCCTAGAACCCGAGGAGGCCTTTGTGCTGCCCGACACCCTGGTGGTGGTGCTGGACATGGACGAGGGCACACTCAGCTTCATGGTGGATGGACAGTACCTGGGTGTGGCTTTCAGAGGGCTCAAAGGGAAGAAGCTGTACCCTATTGTCAGTGCTGTTTGGGGACACTGTGAGATCACCATGCGCTACATCAACGGCTTGGATCGTAAGTCTGCTTTTAATATTGGCACTATTGCTGGCTTTTGCATGCCTTGCATGTGTTCTTGAAGTCGTGGTTCCCAATCCTAGTCCTGGATTCTACTCATTAGCTAATTAACAAGCCTTTCTTGATTTGAGGTACAAGACTTAGAGCAGGGAAGACGCTAAAATATGCAGGGCATGGGTACACTAGGACTAGAATCGGGTACTTATGAAAGGAAGGAAGGAACTCAAATCCCAAATGTGTGGAAACTACAATTGGTTGGGGTTCTACTTTGTCTTGACACGTGTTCTCTTTGTCATACTGTGGATTCTACATCTCATATTTTTGCATATTCTTTGCTTCAAGTCACTTACCCTGTGTACTCTCTATACTAGCTTATGATAAAACTGGTCTGATTGTCTCTGTCTTGGCTTGGAATTCGAGTTAGACCCAAACAGTGTGTCCTATTATGTATATTCATAGCTTCTTCTCTTCTATTCATAGTGTGTATATGCTCAACAGGAATCAGTGATGTTACCTTTACATTCTCCGGCCCCCAAGCAATCTGTCAGGACTTCAAGCACATGTTGATTATTAATGTATGAAACAACACAGTGTCTGCTTCACACCTGGCAACACTTAGAACTGTTGTGTAGAAGGCACTTTGAAAACAGGCTCTGACTTTTCATTTTTGAAGGTGAAGATTGATGATTGTCAATCAAAAACTACTGCAATTATGGGATTGGACCTAGTTCTTTGTGAATTATGTTAGAACTTAAACAATAACTGCTGTATTCTCACACATTATACTGTTAGGTCAGGACAAGGTGTTTCTTGCTTTGTTTACAGGCACAGCCTGTCACTTTTGCTTAGGAAAATATACATGCTAGTGTGTGCTTTTATAGTCTCGAGGGATCATTTAATGGGATCTCTTCGCTCCGAGTGCTTGGAAGGACTTCCTTTAAGCTGCCCGTTCCAGGCAGGTGCTGTGCATTTGCGCAGAGCACCGGTTTTGATGCCTGAGGCCCGCTGTTAGAAGCTCTCACAGCTCTGTTTGATATCTGACATCAAGCCCCATGTGCACTTCTCATCCGCCAGAACAAACAGATGCTCGGGGAGGCGGAGCTCTGGAGGATTCTGGCCCACTTCCTCCATGAAAGCCTCTCATGATCCCTTTTTTGTGAACATGCTTCAACAGCCATTGTGCTAGGTGACTCCTAGTAGTGCTTTGTAATCAGTGACAATGTTGGCATAGCTTGAAATACATTAAGAACTATAGCAGTGAATCCTTGATGTGACTGGTCTGCACTGTTTTTCATTAGTTAATTGCTTTTGTGATTTTAAGTCAAGTTTCATGAAGAGGTCCGAGTTGAGTCTTGGATCAGTTCGCATACAAGTCCAAACTCAAGACTTGAGTCTTTAGTAGAGCTGCATTGTACAAAAATAAACCGCTACTAAAAACCAGGCCAGTTTGACCCAACTTTAAATTGAGTTTTTCAATGTTGAAAAACTATTATTCAGAGGAACAGAACTAAAGAGCTAAATTAGCTATTGCGCTTGTGAGCATACTTACTGTCTGAACTATGTGCTAGCCAAACAAGTTGTTTTGCCGTTTTCTTTTGACCTCTTAAAACCCCAGGCTTATTACATACTGAGACTTATTATTCAGTAACTACAGTGACTTCAGAACAAACTGGCTGAGCTATTCTTAGGTTAAAGAAGTGTGCAATGAAACTTTGGGCCTGCCGGCGGTCCCTGGCCACTTAAGGTGTTAAACACTGCCTTTAGAGAATGTAGATTTTTGCTCTGTCCATCAGACTGAAAGCATTTCTATGATAAAAGCTTTGCTTTTGAAGCTGTATCCAACTTAATGCCGCATGGCGCAGAATGGCACTGCAGTAATGACTGTGCATGACCACAGCAAAGCGGACAGGAACGTCACACACGCATAAAGGTTGACACTCCTAATTGAATCAGTGTGTTTTCTATGAGTCCACGCTGAGTAGCGAGTTGGTTAAGGGTGAGTCAAGAAGTGCGAGTCAGTCAAAATACAACGAGTGCAACTCGAGTCCAGGTCACTGAGTCACAAATTTACATATTGTAGACTTTTGCAGTGTCAGTGTTGCAAAGGCCAATATTGAGATAATGTTAAACAAATTATATATATATTGTGCCTTTATTGTGTCCCTGCTAGCTTTAGCAGCTTAGCATGTTGGCTAAAGCCTTCTTTTTACTCAAATACATTGTAAATACACAATGTATTTGTGATTTTATTTTACTCTTTAGATGGAATTTCATATTGATACAAAGTAAACATATGAAGCTGATTTACTGAACACAGGCTCTAAGTAAATTTACTCACTCTTAAGGTTTTTTATAAAAGAAAAAACATATATAAATAAATAAATAGAATATAACAAGAGCTGAATAACAGATCAAGTAGCTTTTTTTCTATTCATGACCACGTCACCTGTTTGGCAGTCATTTCTGAACTGAAGGAGGAGGTCCCCAGGATTAGTAGGATGCTAGCAGGGTGCATTTCTTTTGACCTCTGTTTTACTACAGTCCTCTACTCTCTTTTATGCCTCCATGGCAGGGGACTGTGAACAAACTGCCAGTCGTTTTTCGGAGCATTTGAAGCTGAAAATGGTCTCGCTTGACTTCAGATGGAGGGAGCTCAGTCACGCAAATTGTAATAGGGGAAGCTCAGCGAGTGGCCAAAAACGGTCTGAAAACCTCTTCAAAGCTTCCTTCAAGGGCCCCGTTTTATACCGGATGAATTGTGTGATGATGGAGAGCCCTCAATTCGGGCTTAGAAGTGAAAGCGCTTGCAGAAAAGTGTTCCTCCCTGTGGAAAACTGCTTTTTTTCCCTTCAGCTTAGTTGTGGAAAACTCTGTTGAAAGCTGATGCCATCATCTGCAATTATCTACAGCCATGAAAAAGGATGATGGATAAGATGTAGCGAGGACAGGTGTGAACGCAGAACATGTCTGAAGAGGGCCTGTATGTCAGGACTTAATGAATTTCCCTCAGTGTGAATGATAGAAAGTGAGTCATCCTGAGACCGTTAGCATCTGCACTTGAATATACAGAGATATTTTTCTATGAGGATAGCGCACTTGGCTCGCTCCTACATCTACAGATGTCAAACATAGCTCTGGCAAGTATCGACATGTATTTTCTTCGCACATATCAGTTTGTTCTTGTATACCCATGCATGCTATACAAGGACCCTTACTAAGACTCTCCACAGAGAAGCAAACAAAGCCTATCTGTTCCTGCATTGTTTTTAAATGCTTTGTTGATTTGTACTATCAGGGAGCCCCCAGGCTTCATTAAGGAAGATTGCAGGCTCCCATGAGCACCCCAAGTCTATCATAAATGAATGTGTAGATCTCTATTCATGAGAGATTCAACTAGCTAGGTTAAACAAGTGTAATTCATAGGACTGTAATACACAGTGGGTATCCCCGCAATTGGTTTCCCCTGTGATACGCAGTAGGTACACCCCAATTAGTATCTCCTGTGATACCTAATGGGTATCCCCCCAGTTGGTTTCCCCTGTAGAACCCATGAGTATCCCCCAATGGGTATCCCCTGTAATATCCAATGAGTATTCCCCTAATTGGTTTTCCTCTGTGAAACCCAGTGGGTATCTCCCAATGGGTATCTCTTGCGATACCCAGTGGGTATCCCCCCAGTGGGTATCCCTTGTGATACATAATGGGTATCCCCCAAAGGAACCTCTTGGATTTTTTAGTACCTGTGAAAAACTAGACCTATTCAGGATTTTAAGTTGTTGGCTGCAAAGCAAATTACTGAGTCAACTTTACACACTGCTATCTGTTTTTAGCTGGATTGGGTCTGTGATGGACCCAATGCAAAGATCATTCTTGATTTTTACAACATGCCAGACTCTCTGATGATAGGCTAGAGAGACTACTGCCTGGTATGTTTTTGGAAATTTATTACGCCTGCATTAAGCTTGGCAAAATAATGAATAATAACAAAAATCAAGATGTCATTATCAACATGAAGGCAACTTTCCATATAAGGCTGCTCACACAGTGTTATAGGGCAGTTGAATGCCCTTAAAAGACAGCACTAACTGCTGTCTTCTGCTGGAAAGTAAGCTGGATTGGTCAGCACTGCTGTAGATCTCATGTCATGGCGATAGGATGCACCCCTCTTAGCCTTGTGTTCTTGTTTTTTAACTCCACTGTCTGACCTGTAACCTGAACTGCATTAAGCGCTAATATGAGAGAGACTGTGCATTAGAGACAGGCCATGGATATAACATACATTAATGCCAAGCAGCTCAGCGAGAGAGGGAGATTAGCCGATTTGTAAGAGGAATGTTGCTGGAATGCGCAGATAAGTGTGTGTGTGTGTGTGTGTGTGTGTGTGTGTGTGTGTGGCAAGTCTGAAAGCCCTGATCATGTGAAGCTGGAGGAGCAGACGGAGTGTGGGAGAGATGATGTGTGCATGCAGCTTTCAGTGGACCATGACCACATGCTCTGTTACTGGGTGTCTCAAGCAGGGGTGGAAATGGCCTGGTTTTACTGGGGACCCTTACTGATTTTGTGTGGGGGATGTGTAAAGGCTTATTTCAATAGATCATAATGGCTGCACTTGTCAACTTTGATGTGAAGCTGATACACCATTGACGTCAGATGACATTAATATTTCTGACACTGGGTTGTTATGACACTTGGGTGAAATGGCAGGTTGTAACAATTGAGTTTGTAGCTTAAGGCCAATGTACACCAAATGCATTGCGTAGCATTATGTAGCAGAATGATGCTATACTACATAGAAGGCATTGCAGTGAGAGCACCACTAAATGCAACAAATAGTTCAAGCTCATTTTTACATGCTATTCATATAAATTTAATGAAATTTAACCTTTAACATTATTTATCATACTTTCCATCAGTTTACTACTGCAGTAATGGCAAAATGCTGAGTGGCATGTTCTGACGTACAGATAAATTGAGCGTTGGTGTGCTTACCTTCATTAAAA